TTATTCTGCTGCGTGTTTCTGCATATGTAGCCCTAGACATCTCTCTCTCTCTTCCACTGAATGTTTGAGTTCAGGGTGATTTTTGCAGGTTCGTTAACTGTATCTTTCACATGTTGAAACTCAACTGTCTCCAAATCTCCACAAAACCGTTCTTTTATGACAGTGAAGGTTGTTTTTCCTTTCAGTTTAATTCAGCTGCAAACATTATTATTGTAGCATTTCACAATGGTAAATATAATGGAGATACTGAAGATAAAAAAGTATTAGTGGACAGATAATGACATTTACAACATAAGTATTTTATGGGGAGGGTTTCCTCATCTTGGGTTACCCACAATTCCCAGTTCAAGGCTGCCCTGACAGTGCAGACTTGAATGCAGATCTCACATCTCATGATACATGGCTCCATTAAAGGCAGTGTGTGTAACCCCAATTCAATTAACATACTATCTCTGTTTTTTTTAAACCAGAAATTTCATTCTCATACTGAAGAAAATCTGATTTACTGCTCAGAATGCATTCTTCTCACCTGAAGACATCTGGCAAATGAATAATTAAACTTTGAAAAGAGCCAGCAGCAAGACTTTTAATCAAAGGCAAATGAATAACATTAAGTGCATTTTGGCTCATACTCCAGGATTAAAAGTTTCTTGGATGAGCATCTTTTTCTAGTCTCCCAAGTTATGTTTCAGCAGACACTTGGTCGGGGCACTGTCTGAAAGTAAGAGCAAATTGTTAAATGGAAAATATAAGGTTGTGACAATAAATGTTGAAACTGAAGATAAATATTGAACTATTTTAATTCAAAGAAAATGGCATAAAACTTAAGCACAGCTGTAGTGTGTCAGATAAAAGTTCAGCTGGTCCCATGTTCCATTACTGACAGCACGATAGCAAATGCCTTACAAAGTTTATAAGAACAGGACAAACTAGAAACACTGTATTGGTATTAAACAAACCAAAAGTAATGTACCTGCTGAAAATTTATCCCAACTGCTTTTTGAACAGAAATAAATGTTTAGTACAAGTCCTATGATGAGGTGTAGCTTACCAACAAGGCACGTGCAGTGCAATCCCCTGGTTCTTTTGAGCAATCTCCCTTTATTTGACACCTGCCAGCCCTTTCATTGGAGAGGCAGTGAATATTTCCTTTTCTGTTGCCTCCTGTCTGTTCAGGGTTTTCTAGACCTCCTCAAAAGTACAGAAATAGTTTCCCCAAATGTGCTATACTGGTGCAACAGACAATAATGTTTTCAAAATTTATTCCTGTAAATGTCACATTCCCCCACTACACGCCCTTGATTCACTTTTTCACACACTGGAACATTAACAGGGAGAATTTAGCCCCAGCCTTTGACACAAACCAGTTTCCTAAACAACTTGTTTGAACAAAAGGGAAAGAACATCAACTCTTGCTTTTAATCTTTGGATGGTTGCAAAATCTACCAAACTTTTGCACAAGAAACTCTAGTTTCTGTGTTTTCTTTTTGCCAGAAGTTTCCCGGAGTGTGGCACACAGCCTGCTGTACAGCGCTAATATTACTGCCCAGGGCAGCCCTTCCATGAAACGGAAAGAAAAGCACAAGGAAAGAAAAACAGCAGAGGATCCTGCTATCAGAAAACATGGTAATGTTTTCCTTAACTGTAACCTTAGCAGAGTTAAGTACCATATAATGTTAGGCAGCACTCTCCTTTCATATCCATTGACATTAAATATTATAGGCTTTCTGAATTCACACACTCCCACTATCCTTCAAATATGAAACAAAGCAGCCACCTCTGCAGTTCTGTGATGCGAACTCGCTTTCCCTGAAGAAATCATACTGCTTTAAAATGTAATACACCCAGTTGTGCGCATCCTTCCCTGGAACAAACACATGCAACCTGGTTTCAAACACTTCCAAACCATATTATTAAGGATGACAGTTCTACCACCACTCAGAGACCTGAGGCTGTGGTTGACACTGGTTAAAAAAAAAAAGAAAATGGATGGGGTGGAGGGTTAGTCATTCCTCTTAAGAGAGTTGTTGCATCACTCCAGTCATCAGCACCAGGGTGTGCACCTTTTAATCTGGCAGTTCTTTGATGGTGTAATGCAGACGTCTGTTTCGGGGCTGTAACCAGTGGGCAGCTAAGTGATGACAAGATGATGGTCAGGAGAGAAAGCAGCTCTTGGAGGGGCAGTAGGGGAACAAGAAGGTCTGTGGGCAGGGGACTAGGGAAGTCAGTTGAGCCAACCAGAAGTGACTCTGCTGTCAAATCACACTAGCACCTGACCTGGGATCACTGCAGCTCTTTCCCCATAACCTGCAAATTTCTCCACTGCCAGAGGTCAGCTAGTCCAGGAACCAGAGGTCTGCAACCCTGTACTAGTACTGGGCGAATGATCTCTGGATGGGAAAACAGAGTTGTTCTCCATCACAGAAGCATTCCCAAGCTTCTCAAGTGGAAGAAGAGCAAAGTTAATTTTTGCCTTTTCCTGTTTCTGTTTGCCTTCCACCATCAGTTCTCTTCAAATCTTTATGGGAATACATGGGTGTACATTGGTGCTGTAGGTCTCCAGACCTATGGCACTAGACCAGACAACAGAGTCTGGCTGCTTAACCCACGTGGACTAATCCATACAGGAGGCTACACATTGGCTCCACTGCTCAGGAGTAGCAAAACTGTTGTGCAAGACTCTCTGGAAACTCAGTCTCCCAAAGGGAGAGCTGCGGGGCTCCTGCCCTTCAGCCAAGTTTTCAGTAGACGCTTCAAAATCCAATGTGCTTCTTTGTACTGTCTGGTGGGGATCTGGTGGACAGGGTCCCTGAGTGTCTGAAACAGGCAGTAAATTAGCAATTCTTTCCACCTTGTGCCACTCCTGAGCCCTGCCTAGTCACGGGGAAGCTACCTATCAACAGAACTGAGTACAGCTTCAGTCTCAATGGACATAATGTTCCAGCCCTTGAGTACAACCAGCTTTACACACGTCTTATCATTAAGCTCCTTCAGTGAGTGGCAAGATGACAAGAAGAGTGGGCAAAGGCAGTGAGAGACACCATCTCTAGCAGGGTTAGTGAAGAGGAGGAGGTGTGGGAGGGTAGGGTGGAGGACAAGCACAGATAAAGCTGGAAAGAAGACTGAGCAGAAGTGTGTAGGCCCTGAAACAGTATTTGATTTGCTGTGTGGAGTAACAGGCTGGATTATTTATGACAGCTATTGCTTTTGTGAAACCCCTTGCCGTCCTGATTTCCCTCCCAGCCCAGCAAACCTGCAGATACTGTGTTGTGCTGGAGCTGACCGCTGCCAGAGCTACAAGGCATGTCAGGATCTGGTCCAGCTCAGACTGATTTTCAGAAGTTCTCACTTCTTTTTAGTAACAGTCTCCTAGATTTTAAATTCAGGAAGTGCTGCAATTATTTAATTGCAAATAGTTTATATGCCAACATAAAAGCACTTTTGGTCCTCACACAAATTCAACTCTGAGTTTATGGCAATGTTTACGGACAGCTCTACTCAACTCCAATGTTTGAAACCTTTCCAAAAGTGATTTGCATTCAAGAATACTACAGCACTTTGCTTTAACAAAGCTACAGCTGAACTTGGCTGTCACCTCCAGCTGTATGCTTAAACTGTCTCGCTCTTGAGTTGAATCAATGCCAGTGAGCAGCTACATTAATAGATATTTCAGAATTCCTGCACCAAGTCATCGTTTATGTCTTTTCTTACACTGATTTAGCTCCAGTGCACCCTCCATAGTTACTGTGTTCTTTTCATGGTCTGGAGCCTCAAAGAACAAATAAATCAGATCTTCCAAGCTCCATCCTGAAAACTCACTAGTTATTGCTTTCAGCTCAGCACTGATTCCTCGACTAATACTTGAGTAGGAAACAGTCAGAGGAGACAGAAGCTTGATATGATGAAAGGGTGAAGCGGTGGTAAACCAAAAGGGAACATGAGTCCTGAAATAGAGTTTATATGGATAAAGGGTAGGTGAGAGTAGGAACTGAAACTGCAGAAGAAGGACTGGAAAGAGGTTGAATGGAGAACAAGAAGTATGGTAAGGGTTGTAATGAAGGAAGAAAAGGGCCCAGAGAAAATTGAGACCATCTGATTATTCAGATAGACCCTAGAGGCTGCCTTCCAAAGTCTCTACATTCCTCTGCTGCAAAGTTAGCAGTGAAACCCACTGGCAAAGTGAATATCTCATCCCACATTTATGCCTCATCCAAGCGGGATTAATAATGGGCATGATTCTACATCATAGAAATCTCATATAAAAAAAACAAACAAAACAACCAACCAAACATGAAACCACCCCGCAGTACATCAAACAATGGTCAGGCCCCCAAGTCACACATTCACATTGCTAGTAAACACCAAATTCAAGTTCTTTCTTCAACTTTAGATTGATTCTCTTTATCTTCAATATGAGAGATACTTGTATCAAATTCGGACATCAACACACTCACATTCCAATGTGTTTCCTGGGGTTTGGGTGTTGGTTTTTTGCAGTTTCTTTTTTGCAACCTGTCAACAAATTAAAGTGTCTAAGTTCAGGACATTAAAACCAAAACAGAGCTTTAAAAGTGTGTTTTGCAGAGTCAAATTACTTGAGGTCATCAAACCACTCACAGAAATGACACCTATTCAGCTCTTGCTAGGATCCTCTGCTGAATTTTACCGAGATTTGCTCAGGAGTGAACATCACAGTGATTCTTCTTGGCTAGGACAAGGAGATACAGCACGTTGGCTTCAGCTGGCAACCATTGTGTCTTGCTTCAAATGCTCTCCAAAAGGAGAAAAAAGTTAAGATCCTTGCGAGAATATCTGGGACTTTTACATGGACCAGACCTAAAGTACTGGTAGTCTGGATCTTGGTTTGCATCTGCTTTCGGGATAGCCCTGGGACAGACTAATATCAATATCCTGGCTAGTAGAAGAAGGTTTATACATTTGAGAGGAAATTCGCTGAAGTTAAGGTGGCTGTCTCATGCTGGCAAATGACATGCTGCAGCCTAGCGTGGAATGGCACAAAGCCTGTAGGGGTGGGGTTGCAGTGTACCCCCCAAAATGGGCTCTGGGTTGATCTCTGTCACCCCCTCAGGCAGCCGGAAGGTAAATGCCCGCAGCAGGTTGGCAAAGAAAATGAAGAGCTCAGTCCTTGCTAGATTCTCCCCCAAACAGACACGGTGCCCTGCAGAAGGAAGAGGGGAAGGACAGTGAGTCTCTAGGATTTTTTTAGCTTCATAATCACTTTGTTGATTCTTATTATAAGAAGAGGAGGTTTTTTGTTCAAGGCCAGGATCACAAAAGCCACAAAACTAAAACTTTGTGAATTCTTTCTCAGAAAGATCCCATCCAATGTCATAGGTTAGGAAACACCAAATGAAAATCTCAATGAAAATCCCCGTGGTATCACCATCATTTCTCTCTTGACCTTGCTTGCCCTGGAAGAAAATTATTCTCCATTTACAGGAGATGTTGGGCTTCAAGGTCATACACAAAGAATCTGCCAGCTGTTTGCACATGCTTTTTTAGTGAGCTATAGTCAGATCAGAATTACTTAGCAATGGCATTTGCAATTAAACAAAGATTTGGTCACTTTACAGGCAAAGCAAGAGGCCTAATATTAATTTTCAAGGGTTCTTCATTGGAACCAATGGCATGATCAGGACAGGTGAATAATACATTCATATATCCAGATGAGTAGACAAATAAAAGGAAAGAAAAAGGGAAAAGGAACTTTACTGCTAAGTGTGATCTCTAACTATGCATTGTTATCATATTTTCTTCTTTTGCAACTGGACTTTCAGTCCTGTAAGCAAGAACTTAATCCTTTGTTTACCAGGATGTATTCTGCTTTTCTTCTAGTTTGTTCTTTTAAAAGGGATTGCAAGTAACTCCAGGACACACAAGACACATTGCTTCTCAGGATAAAAAAAATAAATATAAAGAATACTGTAGACAAAACTTGTGGATGACTGCAGCATGCAGGAAGCCCAGGAGGTTCAGGAGTTTGAGTGGGATTTCTACTAGTGTCCTAAGAACAGTTTGGGATCTAACAGCACAGAACTGTTCTTCAATAGCAGCAAACATGAGAGATAGATGTTATCTGAAGAAATACCACAGTCTCACACTTCTGTGTTCTTTATCTAATATGTTGGGTTGGCTCAAACTGTCAGTGTGTTTACCTGCTGAGAACGGTAAGAAGGCTTCTCGAGTTATAAAGTTTCCTTCTTTATCCAGAAAATGGCCAGGGTTGAACTGTCGAGGTGTCTCCCATTGTTCAGGGTCATACAGAGCAGATGCTATGTTTGGGATAATGATGGTGCCCTGCACGGAAGAAAATGTCGATTCAGTTCCAGCTACTAGCCTTTCACCCATCAGTTTCTGCCTGGTGGGTAAAACTGCTGCTTGTTGCTATTTCTTGTAATAAGCAGATATGATGTGAGTTTGTGATCAATTTCTGAGTTGGAAATTGTTGGGCTGTTGTTGGTTCTCAGCCCTGCAGCCATGTCAGTGGGTGTTAACAGCATTAGTGATGTTGATACAACTGCATTGTGACCACTTTTACCACTAATCTTAATAACACTTCTAGTGGGACTCTTCCGTTGATATTCAAGTCCCAGCATTGGAAACCTGTTTTTAGGCCTAAGAGAGATATAAGTACATCCAGAAATAACTGCAATACTTCATTGACAACAACCTCTGAGCCCTTTTAGCAGTAGTACTTGAGGCTTTTTCTTTACTGGTTGTTCCCAGCAGACCAGTCCATGTGCCTTAGCTACCTGGCTGTCAGAAGCAGACAAAAGGTGAAATCTTCACCACAAAATTAGTTAGGTGGGGCCAGTCCAGATGCCAGTAAAGGTGCTGGCATCTCCTGTCTCTCTTGCAATAAAAGCAACCAATTCCTGTTTCTTGCTGGTGTTTTACAGTGAGAACTGGCATCTAGCATAGATTATGTCACTCTAAAAATTCCTTACTGGCTGTGAACATGTGTCTTAGGCAGTATTCGGGAGGAACTCCCTCACTGTCAGCTGGAGCCTACAGTCTCTCTGCTATTAGAGGTTCAGGCAGGTCCCTTAGCTCATGGAGTCAGAGGAGCTATGAGCCATCCTCTTGTAAAGTTTTCTTCCATCCCAGGAGTGCTGGCAGTGCCAAGTTAGACAGGGATCTCTCGACCAGTTTCTCCTCGTAGTCCATCCCCAACTAAGCAGAGCTGGTCTCTGCAGTTGCACTGTTGATCAACAGGGCAGGAGCTCAAGGCTCCAGGGGCAGGGGTCTTGTCAGCTGTCTGAGCATCAACAGCTGAGTGACCTATTTCATTCCTGGAGTCACAAATTGTAACCCTTCCCCAGGCATCATGTTCCCGGGTTAGAGGGAGAATAGTTTATAGATGGAAAATGGGTTAAAAAACTGGAATAAAAGCTAAATGTCTCTCTGCTGAAGAAAGAACAGAGAACAGAGGCTGCAAACGTGCCTGTACCTTTTTGACAGGGAATCCTAGCAATATTGTGTCCCTCACAGACACTCTGGGCATGCCGACACAGACAATGTTGCTGAAGCGCTGGATCTCATGAACCACAGCATTTGTGTAGGGCAGTTTTCTCCGATGCTCATAGCAAATTAACTGGGAAGGATCCAAAACGGCATCCAACTCCTTCTGCACTTTCTCTGTGGAGAAATATTCTTCATTTCAGATGGGAAAAATGCATAAAATATTTTAACTGGTCTCTTTTCTTAGAGCAATAGGAAATGTATTATTTCAACATAATAACATTGTCTATAACCTGTGATTTAATATGATTTGATGCTGAGTTTAATATACAAAAATAGAAATACACAGGAAAAAAATCCTAACAGTGTGGCCCAAAATGATAAGCAAGGACTAAACTGTACTTATTCCAACTCTGGCATTTATCTTACAGAATGCTTGGTGGGTGTAGGATGGGTCACTCAGCTCCAGGTACTGAAGTCATTTAGGGATTTTTACTTTATCTCGAAATCTAAATCTCATTTGCAAAATTGACATAAATGCCTCAGATATTAACTCCCAGTAGAAGGGATGAGTTGAGCAGAGTTGGTCCAAATATGGCAATATACTGTATGAATAAACAACACCTAAATCAGCCTAAAACCTTGGGCTCAAATATGCACTCAATAACACAACCTTTTCAGCCTCCTACTGAGGCTGCAGGAATACAGGTATCTGCCTTGCTTTCAGTGCTAAACACAGCAGATGGAAGGGCCACCAGCACCAGGAGTATCTGAGTCTTCCTTAAGCCCTGGCCATACGCTTTCTCTTCCTGACTTTGATGTGGATGAGGAAACTCAGTCTGGATGTACAGAGGCATCCATGGAGTTGGTGTAAACTAGATAAGCAACCTCTTTTGCAAGATTAACTCAGACTGTGACAGTTTGTGTGTACTGTCAATTTCTTGCCTGAAAACACCACCATCTCAGGCAGCCAGAATCATCCCCTTAAACTTCTTTTTCTCTTTCTACAGTCTTTCCATCCCTTGCAGATGTTCCACATTCATGTTTTGTTTTCTCCTAAGGTTTGCGTGCTGCTTTGTGAACAAACTGCAACAAACATTACTGGTTATTTAAAGACTAGTTACTAACACATTTGGTTGGTTACACACAGGATATGCTCTACTGAAACCTGAGTTTTGTGAGAAGTGTTATGTTACATTCAGCCATCATTAACATTTGTAGTACCCACAGCATTTCACAGCCTCTCACCTTGGATGTCTGGATTCAGTAGCATGAAGAGCAGTCCCCAGTACAATGTTGTGCTTGAGGTCTCTGATCCACCAAGGAAAAGATCATTTATAACATATATCAAATTGTCTTCATCATACTTGGGCTTGACCCCATCTTTAGTCTGTAGATGATGATAAAAGGTTGAAGTTAAAGCATAAAAGTTAGATCATCCTGTGTGCCTCCTGTGTGAGAGTCCTTATTTCCACAACTGGCATGTGCACTAAGAATATTCAAAATTACAGTTTTTGATGAGTACTAAGAGATTAATAGTTTCCCAAGTGAACATGGTCAGTCTTCATTGCTCTTTTGCATGAGGTGTAATAGTCTTTCTTTTTAATATGACAATTTTATGCCTGTTGACTTAAGCACAAAACTTTAAAGCATGATACAAGTTTTGCAGTTACCCTAGAGTGTACTCAAAATAAGTGCCCCACCTCTCTTATTGTGCCTTGATCTCTCCACCATGCTAGCAAATAGTGATTGCAAATACCAAAGGCAAATCTATCTGAATAAATGAATCTCGACAGAACATCTTGAGAGTAATTTCTTCTCTCAGTTCAGGATAGATGTGAACTGGTGGGAGAGAGGTACGCAAGTATTTCCTTCTTATAATAAAGAAGTAAAATAGAAACACAATTAGAGAAAATATATTAGGCAAAAACCTTTTATAATAAACAGATCGCAATAACTTGCATCCCTGACACCAAAGTTGCATCTTTGCCTCTAACATGATAATTTTAATAAATCTTGTCATACTCATTCAGGAGTCTCTATGACAGGAGGGTCAATGGTCAAACTCTATAAATGTGTGATCAGGCAGAACAAACACTTACTTTCTCCATCTCAAGCAGGTAAAAGTCAATGAAATCCTGTGGTTCATCTGGTGTCCCTCTCTCCACGTGTCTTCTGATCTCCTTCCTTGCAAAAGAGCTCAGGACATCATAGGAAGATAGTGCCTTCTTATGAGGACCAGGGAGATGGTTCATCAGCCAGGGCAACATTTCATACAGCTGCAGGAATGACATACAAGAAATTGTATGAGTTATCTGTCAGTAACAAAGCTGTTTTTAGAAACACCAAAAGGCTGAATCGTCTGGCCTGGAAATGTTGATAATGGAATAAACAAATTAGCATTCCGTTGAGTAGGTTTTTGCTGTCGTGTGGGAATACTTTACTAGTAATTTTGACACACTTCTGGGGGCCAAGGCAGTACTGGCAACACTCTGCTCATGCCAGGAAGTTTACTTGACTAATGCAGATCACTAGAAGACATTACTCCTGCATAGTTGTAGACCCTAGCTCCCACACCCTCAAAATGTAAGGACATCCTTTCTGGATAACATGTGGCTACTAAGATTAATAACTCTGCAGCCTCAGAAAACTGGTGGAATTTGTGGACCTCACACAAGGAAGTGTAGACTGGGTATCACTCAGCTAATTTAATTTTCGCCGTAGAGTCCTCATGACTGCTACAGGACCAATAATTGTTCTGATGGTTAGAAATACTACATCTTGAGTCTGCTGAGTGTATTTATACACACAGTCATCAAGTGAAAGTACCATCCTCTTGGATAGCTTCGATAGCCCTCTCTTTGCAGCGTCTGCCATTCCACCCTGCCAAGCAAACACCATTTCTATCTCCTCTCTTTGTTCTTTCAGACCCAACAAGTAAAGTCTTTCTAATTTTAAGTGATAGTTTGTAGGTCATCCCATTAAACACTTCTCTAGATTTATTTCCAGACTCACCACGTAAGGTGTCCACAGTCCCACAGATTATTGTACACCAGAAGCTACTTTAACACTTCTCTGAATCTAAAGGGAAAGTAGCACTGCTAACACCCTAAGATTTTGTTTGCCTTTTTCATCCTGTTATCTGCTAGTTTACACCAGTCTCTTTCCTCTTAGTCTTTGCATCGAAATTTCTAAGCTCATAGCAGATATTAATCTCATTAATTCCTAATATATTTCATAATTTAATTTAGTTCTATTACAATTTGTTCCATTCTTATAACTCAAATCCACAGTGCTTATGAACTCTTACAGCGGGATATCCTGAACCTCTGTGTTGTTAAAATTTCCTGGTTTTGATCATCCACAAATGTCAGCTGTTTTCTATTTTTCACTATGGGAAGTTGTATAGTGCTACCCTCAGATGGTAGAATTCTTGAAAAGCTATGTCACATCAGCATTTTAATTTGCCTTTTCATATAAACCTCAAATATCAATGGTATTTGCTATGCCTTCCACAGTCCCCATTACACCCAGCTTGTCCCTCTTTAAGGGTATAAACTGCAAAGCTGAATTCCTGGGGAAAACATCAAATGTATTTCAAGACATTTCAAGTCCAAAGTTGGCCTTTATGGTACGTTGTCAGATGTACCTACCAAAAAAATGGGGTTTTTGGTAGGTACCAGGAACTTGAATTGTGAGACTGTCAGAGACTTTATGTATTGTTTTTGTAATGTGTGAATTGCAAGCTATAATGAAGTAATGGAAATATTAATAATGAATATTTTATTATTTGTGAGGGAGGACAAAAAAAAGGAAATCTGTCAGCATACAATTTGCAGAGTAGCAAAAAGCAGAACAGTGAATTCAATGATACTTATCATTGGAGGACAGAAGAAAACCAAGGTGGAAGGACCAGCCCTGCAGAGTTCAAATTTATTACAAACTCCCAGCTCAAATTAAGCTTAAAGGTTTCTGTTAACAGGCTCAAAAATGCTGAAAGATTAAAAAAGCCAGGAGTCAACAGAGAGATGCCCCCTAAACGTGCAAAGAAACAAGAGAGCTCTTAAAAACGGTTGTTTCTCAGAACCAAGGAGGCAGTAATAAGGTCCCCAAGGACACCTCAGCTCCCAGTTGCATTTGCCAGTTGCTCTGTATTTAGTGCAGACTCATTTTCTACCTATTTCAGAAAAATGTACCATATTATTTACTCACCCTATGAGCCGGGCTGCCTGCAAATCTGAATATATTCTCTGTGGCACTGATCAGTTCATGGAAGGTTTTGTCCTCATCAGAGAAGTGATATCCAAAAACCAGAGCACAAATTACATTTGAAATAGAATGGAAAAGAGGGAAAGAGGGATCCACGGGTCTTCCTGCAAGCACAGTAACTGATAGTCACTCTCAATGTTTTCTTCAGGTGTTCCTTATACAAATAGGACAATATGTTATTAGAGATTACATAAAATATTCTCTTTATCATCTTTATTCATGCTGGGGCATGAATGGGGATAGAGATGTGGCACTAATAGGTATTCATGAAAATAAAACAGTCTTAGAGCAAAGGGCACTATTAAACTGTTTCCTCACATCTCTAAAACAATCTCCATAACACTTCCTGTGAAATAACATTGTACAACTAAGATCCATTAGGTGATATCATATCAAATCTGCTGTCCTCAGTTGTGCGGAAGACAAGAAGTCAGACTGTGAGGAGGAAGAAATGTCAAAGGAGATGAACTAAGAGAAAACAGTGAACTAAGAGAGTGACAGGCTTGTTCTAAAATGTAAAAAGCTACTTAGGAGGAAAGACTGAAGGAGCTTGGGTAGCTTTAAGAAGCAGAATAGATGGATAGGAACTGCAAAGTATAAATAATAAAATTATTACAGTCTCAGCTGTGAATGGTAGACCATCTCTGGCTGATGATTCTTTTTGAATTTATGAGACAGACATCCATAAAAAACTATTTGGATAGAAGTGATCCTGGCTTGGACTCTAGGATGAACCTGATAATCCACTGAAGTTCCCTCCCACCTCCTACTTTCTTTGATTCTTTTGCCAACAGTTACTTAGCCAGACACTAAAATACCCAGTTTACCTCATGGCACCTAATGTCATTGAAACAGGGAGAAGTGACTAAGCTCTCTAATACTCTCTAGTCACCTGTGCTGGGCAGTCTGAGACTGGCTGGGCTGTGCAGGTCAGTGACATTGTATCATTGTACAATCGCATCATAGACAAATGATAAGCCCATAGAGGTGGAATTTCAGAAGTTCCCAACTTAATTAGGTCTATGAACAGCTTTTTAAGAAAGAAATTCCCACTTGTGGTACTACGCTCTATCTGCTCTTTGGGCTTTGGCTAGTCTGGATGCACCACTCTGGACCTCCCCCAAACTAGAAAGGGGTAGGTGAGTTTGCACACTGAAGATACAGATTCAGGACTGCAAAGTGTCTGATTTCTTAGCAGTTGATAGGTACCTTTCAGGTTCACAAAGAACTCTACCAGGTGCGCGGCCTCCTCTTGCACTCGATACTCCAGGCCTTTTTTCCCCATTCCCAGGCTACGTAGAGTCATTATACCAAAGCGTCTCTGCTGCTTCCAGGAGTGACCAGTTGCCAGTATGATACCTAAGGGTATTTCCTGTCATATTAATATTTGCCACAGACATGAACAATTAACGTAAAAATATATTATAAAATAGGTGGAGTAAATCAGGGAATACACTGTGATATACAAGCATCTTTAGGTAAAATTATCAGTAACAAGAAATGGTAGCCAAACACACCCAAACTGTAACTAGACCACATGTTCTTAATGTTGATTGTAGTTAATCTTTGAAAAGAGCAATCTAAGGATTTGCTGACTGCTCCGTTTCTTGGTGCCTTAAAAAAAACCAAAACACCAACCTGAAGATGCCTTTTAGAAGATTTGCTTTAGCCATACTCAAGTGGTCATGCTCAAGACACAAATAACTGGAGGAATTTTCTATGGAGCGCTGTACAGGGTTACGGTATGTTTATGGAGATATAGATCAGTTAAAGTGTGTAGGTTGATATGGTGAAGGTGAAGGATAAGTAACATTTGGTGCCTGTTTCTCCTCTAGACAGGAGACCACTCCTCTGATTGTTAAATTGCACTAGTTGTTACCTGAAGAGCCTGGAACTGCCACTGTGGTGGTGGTGATGCTTTAGCTAAGCTTTAAACACTCTGTGTTTGATTTGGTGTGGCAAATGCAGGGGAGGAAAAAGAAAAGACTGCAAACTGCTAAAATACACTAAGGAGAAGTGGGGTTTTGCGTGTCGGAGGCACTCTCACAATCAAAGGGTACCCATCAAACATTTAAGAGTGACTGCAAATACAGCAATGAGAATTCTGAAGGAGGGTGTTATAGGTCTTTTGCTCATGATGGAAGGTGTTTGGCAACCATAATATATGCGGTTACCAAATATATAAACAAGCATAGCATTCACGTAAAGTACAGCAAAATCAAGTGCAGCAAGTTGGATTATTTCTGTGAGGAGGGAACATTGCTGAGTTCTGAGCTGGCATCACATGTATCTCGAACATAGCAATAAAGCTACCTAGAAACAACCTGGAGTTTTTCCCAGGCTTGGGAAAGCTCAGGACAAAAGGCATCATAGCAAATAGTAAGTTATTCTGGAGAGCTAACGGAGGACTTGGACAATATCTGATGGAAGAGCACAGTGAATGGGAGGGTAGAGGGTCAACAAGGCAGATTAGTTTGCCAACTTATCGTTCCTGTGCACTATTTATGGCAGGAAAATCTCACCTTTTTTTTTGGCCATTGCTTTGAAGAAAGGTGTTATCACCCGCCCAGAAACATCTTCAGGGTGCGTGGTCATGCCATCCTTCACTGCATGGTATCCATTCAGTATGATCAATGGGACCCACCCGAACCACAAAGTATATATGTTACCATGAGTTTTTGCCAGCTGTGAGTGGAAAAGGTGCCAGAAAGGAACAGATGAAACCCCGTACATCTCAAACAGACACCACATCAGCTATTCACTGGCCCAATGACCAGTTTTGTGCTGAGAACATCATCCCCATGCATGTAATTATAGCTAGAAGCAGAGAGAGACCCTTGGTTTTCTGAGAACGAGGTTTTCAGCAGCCAATTTTATTTACCCCGGAGGAGGTGATTTTCTTTTCAAAGCACAGGCTGCAGCAACACTGCAGCAACACAAACAAAACTTTGTATTTCATGTTGCATCAAATCCAACTCCAACATTTGTACATCATTAATTCAACAGCCACGCTCTACACCTTTCTGGGCTCTGTGCCTCCAGCTACCCCTTCCTTTGCAAAAGGAAATTAACTGTTTAAAGCTGCTCCGTCTGTGTGCTCCAGGAGAGGAGGGGGAGCCAGAAATTAGTCAACAGCCATGAAGTGCCAGTGGGATGTGGCCGAGTCCAGGGTTTCCTCACAGTACTGAGGAGAGCACTGGCCATGGGAGACAGCCGAGGTATTCAAGCAGGGTCAGGCGTATGACACAGGAAATTCAAACATTTGTGGTGAAAGATTTGTCCAAGAATGGGAATCTACTTCAACACACCCACAATGATATGGAAGAGGTGGTAGACCACCAGAATGACATCCAGTTGATCACTCTAGTCACTCACTTCTCCTTATATTTCTTTAGATATTGGCTTTACTCTCTCTGTGACAGCATCACTGCCAGTTTGAGCCCGCACTGCACTCAGTGGTGTGTGCATACCCTCTCTAGCATGGATCTGAATTAGAGGTCACCTGCAAACCATTAGAAGAATTACTGCCAGGGAGGGACTGAGCCTGCTCAGGGAGGATCAGCTGTCTCTAGAAACAAGCAGCAGACAAATAGTTTTAAGGAGGTGTTGGAAGACAGGGAGTGTATACCCTTTCCCTTTTACAAGCATACACACACACACACACACGCACCATATTACCTGCTTTGTGATCAAATTACACAATGCCGGTGCATCAGAATTTTTAGAGTAACACACATTGACCTGTCAGCAATGGAGAAGCATCTTTTCAATTATTGGTATTCTCCGACTTTAATAACAAGTCAGAAATCAGGTCCCCAAGTTTATGTGATTCCTGAAGACAATAACAAGTCAGAAATCAGGTCCCCAAGTTTGATTCCTGAAGACGTTAAGTTTCTCGTGAAGATGACATATTCCACGAAGGTGACCTGAACGTAGGAATCAAGTTGATCTTTATATATCCAGATGTTGTCTATAACTTTTTAAGACTTAAATACTTCACTTCGCTAGTAATATATCGGTTTTGTTTAAGCTGTGACTAGAATTAATCAATTTAGAGCATCTTAAAAGAAATACCTCCATCAGAAGATCCCGATGAAACTGAAAGTTCAGCTGCAGCAAGTTTCCAAGCAATGGGAGAGGAGTTGGTCCAGGAGGGAATTGCTTGCGTGCCTTTTGCAGTTTGAAAAACTCAACAATTAACAAAAAAATGATCAGGACTACAAAAGCTTGACTTATTGTCAGCATTTCAGAGCTGATTTATCAGCTTGCCTCTATCAACAAGAAGGTACTGGAGCTCGGGAAAGGTGATCTTCCTTCTTGTTCCACCAGTTCTCTCTGCAGACTGAGTCCTGTAAAGTCTTGGTTCCTTTCCCTCCCTCTGTCCCTCCCTCTTTATCACCGCCTGCCCTTTTCCTGCATCCCGCACATTTACCATGCTGAAGTACACCACGCTAATCCTTACAGCAACCCACAGGATGGAAACACAGAATCACTCACACTCAAGGTATTTGTCCTGTAGCTTGTGTTAGGGACCTGCTGGTGTGTACTAGGAGACCAGGACTAGAGTGACACCAGGTCAGAGCCCTTGTTGACCACTGGAGAGGAGATGAGTGAGGCTCACTTTCATCCGCTTTGGGAACTTTAAAAACATACATGGTTTTTCATCTCAGAATCACTGAATTCAGATTGTGTTATTTGTCAGTTACAAATGGTTAGATTTTTCCAAGTGCTTTAGTCACAAACATTATTTAACTTATCTTCAAATGAGGTTGCAATTTCAGATTTTCCTGCTGGTACACACAGGTCACGCAGGTAAAACCAACAGTAGTTGCAGACCAAGCATGCAATTAGAAGACACAATTGTTACATGTAATTTCTGAAAATTTGACCTTGTGTTCAGTCAAACTTTTTTTCCAGTAAATGGAAAAAACCCAACAGTTTCATCAACTGAGAATTAATGGAGGTCATGCTTAAAAACTCACATTACAATTAAGTAATTTTAAAAAACCTCAGAATATGAATATTTCTTATATTTTAAAAGGAATTAAATATAAAATTCAAATTGTAATTATTCTCGATTATTTTTTTTTACTGTGTAACCCGATTGAAAGCTTCATTTGCCTTGGTTTATTTTCTAAATTTTTATATCAACTTCAGAATCCTGGCTATTATCTCGAGTTATCAATAAGTTTACAGGACACATTGAAAGTGCTTCCTCTGATAACAAGGTATTCACACCTAGTTTGAAACACAGACAGGGGAAAGCACTGTGTGTCAACTACTGGAGGATCCTCTCTTGCATTGCAAAGAGAAAGTGTCTTCACTGAAAATGAAGTACAAGTCTCAACAAGAAACTGCCCTGCCCTCCAACGCGTACATAAATGCAGTATTTTGCAAACCTGGCAACGTTAAGAAAGTAATGTGACTCAGTGCTATCAATCCATCTCCTTCCTTTGGCCAAACTTTGCAGCTCCTGTAGGTACCTACATGACTGCATTATACGGTGAAGACAGCATGGAAAAGTAGGAGTTTATGCCCTTATCTGTGTGCAAAACTAACTAGACACCGTGGGCAGCGCCTGTGGGAAGGACACTAAGGTGGGCTCCATAGCTTTGCTAAAGCCAGTGCAGGTCAGGCACAACTGCCCACTGTGAGGCTGAATCAGCAAAATATAAAATCAGGAAAAAAATCGTTTCTTCAAAGTATCAAGCTTAAAACTTTGAAAAAAATTGGAAGAAAATTAGGTTTTGTGCAGACAGCTGAAATCAAATGAAATGCCGAATTACATGTTTCATGAATAGACTAAATACAATCCTATTCATCTCTTATCTGTCTGGTCAATATTCCATTGACATCTCATACTTGGTGCAGTATTTTGACACCAGTAAATGAATTCACCTCTTTCAGAACATGGGTCAGATTTAACTGGAATCAAATCACTGGTGTCAGAAGCAGGACAAAGCCAAATGCACCGGCCAGCAGTTTACCCAACCAGATCTTACCATCAACTTTCTTCTTTCAGTGTTTTCAGAATTTTCCAACTGTCTGAAACCCAGATGCACAAATAGTTACACCATTGCCAGATGTCACTGGAGAAACTGTGCTGGGAACAAAACCAGGCTGAGGGATCAGAGTGGACTCAGAGGGCAAGAAGAGCAAGTTTTAATTAAAGCTATCAGGAAGCCAGAGTTTCAATAGGATTTTTAGTGAACACAAAAGCACACTGTGAAGTAAGTTTCGGAAAGATTAGTGCAATGCGCAGGTAATCTGACAATCAAATAAGCGTCTCAGTATGATATCTGCAAGCAAACAAATGTTTGATTTCAGCTCTGGCACATAAATATTAAGAATAAACTGTAACACATTTGGTAAGAGGGAATGTTAGGAATTAGGATCTCCAAAGCACAAGAGCTGTTCATGGATTTGGAACAAAGTAGCAGCCAATTGCTTTGAGTGAGGCTTCAAATAGATAATATTTAGAAGTGGAAATTGCACAATACGTTGCTATGGTTTTTAACTCCTCACCCACAATTACCTTCGGAAACTTGCAAAATTCACAAGCTGGAATGTGCCAACTAACTGGGAGCATCAAGGCTGGACTTGAGATGGCACAAAGAGTGAGAAGAAAACAATGTGTGTGACCTAAATATCCAAAATAAAAATGGGGAAAGACAATAGAAATGGCCCTGGCATCCCTGATCCAAATTGCTGCAAGAACTTTTCTTGCAGAAAGTTTGCCAAAGAGAAGAGTAACTTAACATTCTCTGGATGAGATTACTGGGAACCAGATGATTCTTCTATATAAGGAATAGATGGATTAATTTTTCAGGATGCAGGAAAATGCAAAGTACCTAAGACGATGACCTTCACAACAAGCCCAGGGATGCAAACAAAATTCCCCAAAGCTTTTAAGAAAATCAACAGGATTGATGATTTAAAAAGATATCAGAGGATGAATTTTAAAGCCTGACAGAAAAACAGATTTCCATTTTTACAAAACAGGCTGAAATCAACATTCTTACATCAGGATCCTTTTTGTAGGACAACAGGCACTGTGCTATTGCTGCTATTGACCCGTGGGGGGAAAAAAAAAAAGTTCAAAGTCCACAAATACCATCTTTTCAGAAATGTTTAAGAGAAGCACTGGCAAAAATATGGCAAACACTGTAAAATGCAATGCTGCTGTTACCAGCTGGAGCAGTTTATCAGCTCAACCTCTATCAGTGATTTCTTCACAGCACTCCTGATGACTGCCAAGATTAAGGAAAAGCATGATGACAAAAGCGCTCTGCCATCAGTGTCCTAAATTGAGCTAATCAAACAAGCTCCACAAGAGGCTCCCACAAAGTCTGACAGAAATTAAAGAAACCAAAAGTGTGTGTCATAAGAGCTTGTCACAAAATGTACACCGAAGTTAAAATCCAGGAGAGTTGCAGTTAAAAGAGTGACTGGCTGGGACCATGTTAGAAGCTCGTACTGACCACAGGTAAAAATAATTATTATTGACATAGGAATAAGGGAAAAGCCAACAGGACAAGGAAAAAAATCATATTTAGATACTAAAATAAAGGTACTTAAAAGTTCACAACAATTAGCAAAACTCACAAGTTAAAAACCTCTAGGAGTATCATTGTACACAGGATTAAGGACCTGTTTGAGGCAAAGTGTAAGCAAGAACAGTAGCTGACTGCCCATGTTTTTCACGCTAAGAACAACCAAAGAAAGCATTATGTACCAAAAGATATTCATTCTACAGTCTTAAAATTTCACAGATTAAAGAAAATAATCTCTATTACAAAATAGATTAAAGTTACTTGTTTTCTTTATTTGAAGATACTACAAATCTGCTTGATAAAACAACAATATTGAAGTTACACTACTTATGTTTTTCAAATACCTTAAATAATTAATCTAAGAAAATCTAAATATGTTGTTTATCAAGCTTGCAAATCTCAAGATTGAAAGAACAGTGAAATTCAGGAAGCTGATCGTAGGGTCAGCTGCAGTGCAGTCACATGTAAAGCCACACAACACAAAGTAGTTTTTCCCAAAGAAACTCAATTTTAAAGGGATGGACCAGCAGCTACAAAACAAAAGCACTGTGTGTCAACTACTGGAGGATCCTCTCTTGCATTGCAAAGAGAAAGTGTCTTCACTGAAAATGAAGTACAAGTCTCAACAAGAAACTGCCCTGCCCTCCAACGCGTACATAAATGCAGTATTTTGCAAACCTGGCAACGTTAAGAAAGTAATGTGACTCAGTGCTATCAATCCATCTCCTTCCTTTGGCCAAACTTTGCAGCTCCTGTAGGTACCTACATGACTGCATTATACGGTGAAGACAGCATGGAAAAGTAGGAGTTTATGCCCTTATCTGTGTGCAAAACTAACTAGACACCGTGGGCAGCGCCTGTGGGAAGGACACTAAGGTGGGCTCCATAGCTTTGCTAAAGCCAGTGCAGGTCAGGCACAACTGCCCACTGTGAGGCTGAATCAGCAAAATATAAAATCAGGAAAAAAATCGTTTCTTCAAAGTATCAAGCTTAAAACTTTGAAAAAAATTGGAAGAAAATTAGGTTTTGTGCAGACAGCTGAAATCAAATGAAATGCCGAATTACATGTTTCATGAATAGACTAAATACAATCCTATTCATCTCTTATCTGTCTGGTCAATATTCCATTGACATCTCATACTTGGTGCAGTATTTTGACACCAGTAAATGAATTCACCTCTTTCAGAACATGGGTCAGATTTAACTGGAATCAAATCACTGGTGTCAGAAGCAGGACAAAGCCAAATGCACCGGCCAGCAGTTTACCCTACCAGATCTTACCATCAACTTTCTTCTTTCAGTGTTTTCAGAATTTTCCAACTGTCTGAAACCCAGATGCACAAATAGTTACACCATTGCCAGATGTCACTGGAGAAACTGTGCTGGGAACAAAACCAGGCTGAGGGATCAGAGTGGACTCAGAGGGCAAGAAGAGCAAGTTTTAATTAAAGCTATCAGGAAGCCAGAGTTTCAATAGGATTTTTAGTGAACACAAAAGCACACTGTGAAGTAAGTTTCGGAAAGATTAGTGCAATGCGCAGGTAATCTGACAATCAAATAAGCGTCTCAGTATGATATCTGCAAGCAAACAAATGTTTGATTTCAGCTCTGGCACATAAATATTAAGAATAAACTGTAACACATTTGGTAAGAGGGAATGTTAGGAATTAGGATCTCCAAAGCACAAGAGCT